CTTTCTCCAGAAGAAAAAATACTGTGAAAATTTCAAACTCTGTTAAACATCACCTGGGAAATTATTTTTTACAAATAATGATGTTGACTTAAACTCTGTGTAAAATAGAAAAAGGAAAAAAACACTAAAAGACAGAAACAAAATAATAAATAACTACATGCAAATCATTCGAGTACTTTCAAGGAAAGCTACTGTAGAAATGTAAAAAATAAAAATTTGCATAAACGTCCTTATAAATACATCCAATGTAAAACCCAAAAGTCAACTTTGTCAAATGAAATGAGTGTAACTCAACATTGATTAAATAAAAGTTAATTCTACTCATTTGAAAAGAGTTTTGAGCTTAGTGTTGAAGGTAATGAGTTAATTAAATACCTCATTACTTTAACTTAAATGGAGTAAGTTCACTACTCATATAGATTAGTTTTTTTTTTTTTTACTCAAATTGGGTTTGTAGCAATCGGTTTCCTTAAACAGTTTGAGTTGCCTTAACTTATTGGGTTGTACAGTACTCAGTTGGTTTGAGTTCTCTTCAATTATTGGGTTTTACTGTGCTCAAATTGGGCGAGGCAGTGGCGCAGTAGGTAGTGCTGACGCCTCACATTGAAGTGAGTCGCTGGTTCGAACCTCGGCTCAGTTGGCGTTTCTGTGTGGAGTTTGCATGTTCTCCCTGCCTTCGTGTGGGTTTCCTCCGGGTGCTCCGGTTTCCCCCACAGTCCAAAGATATGCAGTACAGGTGAATTGGGTAGGCTAAATTGTCCGTAGTGTATGAGTGTGTGTGTGTGAATGTGTGTGTGGATGTTTCCCAGAGATGGGTTGCAGCTGGAAGGGCATCCACTGCGTAAAAACTTGCTGGATAAGTTGACGGTTCATTCTGCTGTGGCGACCCCGGATTAATAAAGGGACTAAGCCGACAAGAAAATTAATGAATGTGCTCAAATTGCTTCGTTTACTCAAACGGATTGAGTTCACAGTACTCATTAGGATTAGTTTTTGAACTTAAATGGTTTGTTGTAATCGGTTTCCTCAAATGGTTTGAGTTACCTTAACTTATTGGGTTTCACAATGTACATAAAATAGGATAACTGATTTTTTAAAGAAAATTATATTGTAATTTTATATGTGAAATACTACTCATATTAAGAATAATAAAAAAAAAATCACAAAATAAATATACAAAGGATATTCAAGCCATATACACAATAAAAAATGCAGGGTTGAACCCAATTCATTCATGTTGTCCCAACTCAAATATGTTAAGTTAATGTAACTCATTTAAGTAAAGTAAACATAAAACTATGAAATCCCATAATTAACAATAATAAATATAATTCCTTCATATTGTCCCAACACAAATCGATTAATTTAACTTCATCATTTTTATACATTTAAGTGGATTCAACATAAATCAATTTGGTCGTCCCAAAAACTACTTAAGAATTGTGTTGTTTCAACTCATTTTAAATATGTAGATTTAACAAGCAGTAATAAATGACTTTTACAACTTGTTCAAACTACTTATTAAATTCAATTCATGTTTATTTCTACAGCACTTTTACAATGTAGTGTCAAATCAGCTTAACATAGAAGTTCTAGTAAACTAAAACTGTGTCATTCCAGTTTGTTCTTGATTAAAATGAGTTAAACAACACAATTCGTAATGTTTTTTTTAGGACAACTTAAATGTTTTATGTTCAATCCACTCATTTTTTTTTTAAAGGCTTAACTTAATTGATTTGTGTTGGGACAACATGAAGTAATTGTGTGGAACCCAGCATTTTTTTACAGGATTGTGTACTCACCGGGCATGGAAGTGAAGCCCTGCGACTGGCCAGCGATCGACTCGGTATGGGGATATCCCAGCTGCTCTTCCTCTCGGCCTCCGGCTCCTCTTCCTCTTGTTCATCTTCCTCCTCTTCCCCCTGCTCCTCATCATCTTCTCTCTCTTCATATTCTCCTGGAGTTGCTGTAAAGATTTCATCATCCTCTTCCTCTTTCTCCATGTTAAACAGTCGTCTTCAAACTCTGAAACAAACACATCTAATAGGGAAAGAAAAAGCCGTGGGCAGTGGCTTGAGACTGGACGGGCCTAGGATTGCTGATTAAGCCTCTGTAATTAGATCCCCTGGTTTTCTTATCCCATCTGTTTCCTCTGCGGCTCTAAGCCTCACAGAGACCTGTGCAGGCTCCCTTAACTCCCGAGTAATCTGTTTAGGAGAAAGGTGGGGACTTGAGAGAGTGAAGGGAGGGGATTCTTCAAGTGCTCTGGAAGCATCTTGTTCTGGGTCTGTTAAGAATATTCTAAAGTGCACACTATAATATGATGGATTCCTGAAAAACTGGGCAAAATGACATCTAGGTCAGTCACCAGATAAATAATTTGTATTATGAGATACATATACAGATACAGTTGAAGTCAGAATTATAAGCCCCCATTTGAATTGTTTTTTTTTATTATTTCCCAAATGATGTCTAACTGAGCAAGGAAATTGTCACAGTATTTTCGAAAATATTTTTTCTTCTGGAGAAAGTTTTACTTGTTTTATTTCGGCTAAAATAAAAGCAGTTCTTAATAAAAAAAAAAAAAAAAAAAACCATTTAAGTCAATATTATTAGCCCCTTTAAGATATATATTTTGTTCAATAGTCTACAGAACAAACCATTGTTATACAATAACTTGCCTAATTACCCTAACCTGGGGAATTAACCTGGTTAAGCCTTTAAATCTCACTTTAAGCTGTATAGAAGTGTCTTGAAAAATATCTAGTAAAATATTATTTACTGGCATCATGGCAAAGATAGAATAAATCAGTAATTAAAAATGAGTTATTAAAACTACTATGTAAAATAAACGGGGGCGGGGGGTTTTTAATTCAGGGGGGCTAATAATTCTTACTTTAACTGTACCTCCTGAAGGAGTTAAAATTCTACATTACATTCTACAATTTTACATAAGTAGTTTGAACGAGCCTCAAATAATTTTTTGAGCATGGGTCACTCTCCTTATAAAATTATTTCAGTATTTTATTTTTTACAGAATTGTACTTTAAATATATGGTGTGACAGTAAAAAATTTGTAAAACAGCTTTTAAAAAAATTCAAATATTGTGAAAGTGATTTTACTTTTTGTATAAAATTATGAATTAGTTATTTTCCTCCATGACTTGTTAGACTTTTTGCTCATTTTCAATAAAAAGGGGTGTCACACTAAAGGAAAATAAAACAATTTTTTTTTTAAAAACTTCTGAAAAAGTTAAATATGTGAACAATTCTGAAACAAAAACAGGTCATGGTGCTTCACAGTAGGCTTCAGTCAAAACATCTTCAGTGGTGTCCTTCAACTATTTAAGTTTTTCATTAAATTACCTGATTTAAAATTACCATTTAGCGTCACACCAGCATCGTTTTATGTTACAAAACGTATCAAGTACTTGTGATTTTATATATACTGTACGGAAGAAAAAAAAGATCACTTACTAAAAGTCACTCGATTGATTTTCTTTTTAGTTCAGGGTGGCGCAGTGGGTACCACGATCACCTCTCAGCAAGATGTTCACTGGTTTGAGCCCCGGCTGGACCAGTTGGCATTTCTATGTGGAGTTTGCATGTTCTCCCTTGTGTTTGTGTGGGTTTCCTCTGGGTGCTCCGGTTTCTTCCACAGTCCAAAGATATGCGGTTAGGTGAATTGAATAAGATAAATTGGCCGTAGTGTATGTTTTTGAAAGAGTGTGTATGGGTGTTTCTTAGTGTTGGGTTGCAGCTGAAAGGGCACCGCTGCTTAAAACATATGCTGGATAAGTTAGCGGTTCATTCCGCTGTAGTGACCACTGATGAATAAAGAGACTAAGCCAAAAAGAAAATGAATGACTGGTTTTCTTTTTTATTTATAGGAGCTATAATTTACTGTACTATGCTTGAGAAGGTCACACCATAGAATAGTTTTGAGATTTGTCTGAAAAAAGAAATAACAGCAGTTTTTAATAACAAGAGGTTCATGGAAGACAAAGCAATGTTTAACCATTTACCACATATTAAATTAAGACAAAAATAATTATATAATTTTTTTGTCATATGTGACTGTGTAAATACAACATCACATCTACAAATAATTCACATCTACAAATAAATGTATAATTTTATATACAATATGTATACGGGTGACACAGTGGCGCAGTAGGTAGTGCTGTCGCCTCACAGGAAGAAGGTTGCTGGGTCACTGGTTCGAGCCTCGACTGGGTCAGTTGGCGTTTCTGTATGGAGTTTGGATGTTCTCCCTGCGTTCGCGTGGGTTTCCTCCGGGTGCTCGGTTTCAGAAACTGCTGATCTACTGGGATTTTTACGCACAACCATCACTAGGGTTTACAGAGAATGGTCCGAAAAAATGAAAATATCCAGAGAGTGGCAGTTCTGTGGGGGCAAATGCCTAGTTGATGCTAGAGGTCAGAGGAGAATGGCCAGACTCGAGCTAATAGAAAGGCAATAGTAACTCAAATTATCACTCGTAGGTATGGTAAGGTATGAACCTCGAGGCAGATAGGCTACAGCAGCAGAAGACCACACCAGGTGACAACGGGAGATTTGCATTATGAATGTGCAGCGACAAATCTGTAACAACTGCATGATGCTATAATGTAAATATGGACCAATCTCTCTGAGGAATATTTTCAGTACCTTGTTGAATCTATGCCACAAAGGATTAAAGCAGTTCTGAAGGCAAAAGGGGTTCTAACCCGGTACTAGTAAGGTGTACCTAATAAAGTGGCCAGTGAGTGAATATTACAACATTTTAAAAAGTCAGAAGAAATGTCACAGAATAAAACACTAGAAATCTTCAAATGGTCTCATAAATTCTTCTCATGGTTATAAACAAAACATATTGTAACACCGGAGTGTGTTATACAAAAAAATACTATTTTTGTCTATTTATAATTTACTTGCAGTTTTTTTTTTATGATCTACACTCAAATTCACTAGCAATTTCTGATTAATTAAAAACAAGCTTACAAAAAAATAGCTGTTTATTTACATCATATACACCCTACTGTACATAAACACATACAAACAGGAGTGTGAAAGGCATCAGTGAACGGGATTATCATTTAAGTAGATACTATAAATGTTAAGCACCTTATAGAGTGCACCCACAGGGGCCGTCTAAAATTAGACCCCCGCAGATACATGTGTTGACATGGACCGAAAAAGCCCAACAGTGTCAACAACATACAAAGTCATGACAGGACATTAGATGCTACTAAAATTTAGCGTGACTCATTGTACAGGTAATGCTATCTACTCATTACTCAGCCACTTAGTCTTTGATTATGTGAATCCGCCATTTCTATTTTAGTAAAGAAAAGTAGAAAACTAGATATTCGACATTTCCAGTAACAGTGAGGTTTAAAGTAACATTATTTTTGAGCTATTTAACTGTTAAAGTCTGAAACAAAAATGAAACCTAAATATCGATTACCAATAGATGGCAGCATTGTACAATTTTCCCCGCCATGATAGTTTAGGGACTGTCGTAAAATAAATATAGGTGATTGATATGTAAACACTGAGAAGTAAACATTCTAAATATCAAAAAATGTGTAATTATATTGTAATAAAGACGCTACATTTTTATGTAACACATTTGAAGAGTAAAACCTAAATGTTATCTGCCATTTTCTTCTAAAATTAGCATGTTTCTTAGCCTCCAATGTTAATGTTCAGTTATTTAAATAATTTATTTAAAAGTAATGACAATATGCTGTTCTTTGTCATAAATTTAAGTTACTGGACCTACACAAGGTGAAAAAATGCTTATTTCAGAAGAACATTTTATATTTATAGGCTTTTTTGCAACTCTTCACCACACTACAACGTCATTTGCTGTGTATTTATGGGTCAAGCCTCTATTTGATTGAGTCCGATAACCAGCTGGGTGAATTCACTGCCGAAAATCCCAACAAAATCTGCACAGATGATGTTAAGGCATGCTTGGCCTGAGCCTGGCCGCTGTTGTTCCACCCACTTCATAAGCAGACTGTAGGAACGTCGGGTCATGCTTTGCAATGATTGGCAGGGATGACAAAGTACATACCGAGCATCCTCAGTTAGGTTCAGGCCAGCAGCAAAAAACTGACCTGAAAACAAATTCAGGGAGAGTTATTAAGAGAAACATCTTTTTTTTTTTGTAATTATTTGGTGTAATTTTATCTGAATACAACAGACAGTTTTGAAAAAGCAAAATTGATTAGTTTCCTCCTTAGAGAAACTGATTATTAAGGGTCATCTAATAATAATACTATTTTATACAAATATTATTTAATAATAATGCTGTTTATTATTTAAAAAAAAACATGCTTAAAGGAATAATTAAACCCAAAAATAATAAACGTAATCACATTCATTATTTACTCTCTCTCTCATGTGGTTTTAAACGTTTATCAGTTTCTTTCTTCTGTTGAATACGAAAGAAGATATTTTGAAGAATGATGGTTGCTGGGACTGGTTGATTTCCTACGAAAAAAGATTACTATGGAAGTCAATCAACCAACATTAGTGTTGGAATGGATCACATTATGGCTTATGGTCAAGGATGAGCAGAGGAGACAAATGTAATTTGCTTTCCATTTGTTACAAAAACAGTACTGCAAGAATTTTCTGGTTTTAACAAACAGAACTTAGAAGCTGTAATTTATATAATAAATTCTTAAAAATAAATAAATAAAAATATATTAAAAAAGGAAGAAATAATCAGCTGAAAAAAGTAATAGTAAAATATTCAGTAATGTGAAAAAAAATCACTGTTACTACTACTGTTGCCAATAACACTAAATCGAGAATTATAATTTGCTTAATTCATAATTAATTTGAGTCTCATTTTCAATAAATGATTTAGTGATTCACTCATAAAACTTAATGTTTCATTGCTGGATGGATTAATCTTTGAAGAATTATTCAGTGGCATATTTTTGAAGCCTGGCAACCTAGTTTTTTGAGTGTCAAGCTAAATGAGTATGACAGTGATTTTAATCTTTACTATAAACACTTGTGGTTTTATCTAAACTATAAACTGTTATCCCAGTACTTCTGTGTTGTTTGTCTGGTTGTAACTTCATATCCAATTCAAAAGACTAAAGACTCGATCTCTTTCTTGATTTTTGCGTTTTTCAAACACAGATTTGAACGCACTATGACTATTGAAAAGATTAATGAACATATGCAAGTCACTATCATTTATAATTTGTGTTGTGTGGGTGTTGAGATCCCGATCTTTTAAGGCTTAATTGTGCAGCTTACACTGAATACATTAATGCAGTCTAAACAAGTAGTGACAGAAAACTCCTAAGAAACCCACCACATCCTGAATAACCAACCGCAACTTCTTCCGTCAATATTATATTTTACAGAAAAGCCTATATGGTTTCATACATGTGATTTGAACGAAGCGAGAGGCGATCTCTCTCCGATCGTTACAATTTTAGGATTAATCTACAAGTAATAAATGTATTATTCCACAGGTCACGTGTGTTCCGAACTATGGGTTGTGATCCGTATGAATCACAAATTAACTCTGATCCTTTACACCCCTAAGCAGCTTTCTTTTCAAATTTCTTCTTTTATGTTCAACAAAACAAAGAAGCTGATCAAACTAGGTCTTGAGCACGTGAAGGGAGAGTAAATGATAATTCATTTTCATTTCGTGATTTCGTTTCATTTTTGGGTGAATTATCCTTTAATTAGTGGAATTTGACCAGAGCAGCATTAGCTATGATGCTGTTCAGGATAATTCACCAATCAGAGAGTGCACCAAGATACATTTAGCTCCGTCCACTCCTATAAAGTCCATTTCCCCACACTTTCAAAATAATTACAGTAATATGTAACGTTTCTATTGATACAACCAACAGCTTCACACGACAGGTTTTCTATTATTTTTAAACTGTCATTTGCACTGCTTTATTGGATTGTTGTTCGTCTCTCATTAAAGCCTTAAAGAACACAATTTTTAGATAATTTTCGTATATCTATTTGCTTTAAATATAGTTTGTAATATAAGTTTGTATAAAGAAACTTCTCATAGCTGGTTTCTTTGGTTCATGGTTTAATGTTTTATTATTATAACTGACCTGGTCTTCCTTCATTTTTCTGGTCCTCCAGGTAGGATATAACTAGGTTTGGATCTGACTTGTTCGCCCACCAGTATGGACACTGAGGCCACAGTTCTACATATCCAGTTGAAGATTCATCATCATATGACAGAATAACCTGATAACTGTGATTCCAGCACTCCTGTAGTGAAGGGGTGACCTGAAATCACAATTTCAGGGAGATCAATAAAATGTAAAATATTGTAATATACATTTGGCCATCATCACAATCCCATTAGATTTCATGTTTTATTAGTCAATAACATGATAGCATGATCTTATGCTAAACTTTTTAGCTTTCGTTTTAGCTTTTATGTTATCGTTAATTAGCAGTTTCCTGTATTTTGTGATTCATGTTTTTGTTTATTTGTGCTTTTGAATTGCATTATGGGACTTTGATCTTTCTCTTAACAACTTTTAACCTTGAAAAGTTAAAAAAAAAAAAAAAAAGTGACGTTGTCTGGGTTGGTGTCAAATATTACAGTTCAAAACCCTTGTAATAAACACCAGTACATTTTCTGTTGCTTTACAGACTTATTTCTCTCTATATAATTTCTTATACAGTATTTTATATTACTAAGGTGTCTACTAAAAGTCACTTTGTTAAACTATAGAGTTGAATTTTCAACATCAAGAGTCGACAGAGCAGAGATCAAGCTCCAATGATGCAATTCACAACAGTAAATAAACGGTGTGGATCACAAAAAATAGAAACTGTTACAGACTTTTTTTTTACAGCATACAGATCTTTTTATTTAATGTATATGTAACCTCTCAAAAAAGTTTAAATTGGTGCTTTGCGTGTAAAAAAGGTACCAATGATGTGGGAGATAAAAATTGAGGACACAAACTGAGAATTTTCTCACTTTCGGGGCGATAAATACAGATAAACTTTAGGTATGATTTAACGAAAATGAGAGAAAAAAAGAGAAGTACAGTGACCAAAAGTGATTTTCAGTCTTTAAAAGAAATCCCTTTAATTACATTGATGTTATACACTGTTAAAAATTGTCCCGTTAAAAAACAGTAAAATACTGGCAGCTGCAGTTGCCAGCAATGTACTGTTATTTTACAGTATGTTGCTGTAAAAATACATGGACTACATTGATTTACACAATACTCAAGTGAACTCATTTTGCTCACGGAAAGCAACTGCCTCAACTTGGTCAACTGTTTATGAAGTTTATGAAGTAATGTGCTATATATGCTTAGAAGCATACTTATAATGATAACTTATTTTAGTTAATTAGAAAAGTTTGGTTTAACTCTAATGTTTTATTTTTCAACAGCACACATACATGTAAATCTGGAATCACCAGAGAGATTCTGACTGCATCAGCAACTAAACAGCCGCTATTTTTCAATAGAGAAACATGCAGAATAACATCAGCAGTTCATTGTTCATCTTTAACTCATACACTGGCTCTACTCTCCTCCACAACGGTGACACACAGAAGAAATTAGCTTCAGGTTTTACAGTAAAATACTGTTTTTTCCTTGATTTAACAGTAATCTACTGGCAGCTGTGGTTGCCAGCAATCTACTGTTTTTTTACAGTCTATTTCCGTAGTGTAAATTAACAGTATATTACTGTTAAAATACATTTTTACACTGTGTTTTTACCACTCACACCTTTAACCCTTTAAACCCCAGAGCATATACTTCAGTTTTTATTGAAGTGTCCACACTACTGAGTGTTCAAGAAACATGGAGCAAAGCTGAAGTAAATTCATTAATTAACTGACTAATTAAATGATAATTGAGGATTAACAATGAACAAATGAAGAAATACTGAAGGGAAAAAACAAGAACAGAACATACAAAACTTTAGTCACAGCTTTATAATGAAATAACCTGAAAAACAACAAATGATTAAATCATTTAAATGATCAGCGGATGATTAAACAACTCTACAAACATCATCACCAGCTACACTTATTACTTAATACATGTATTTTTGTATAACATCTACTAAAGTTCTTCTTGAGAAAAAGTTAAAGTTTTACGTCACCATCATGGAGAACAGAGTTTGCTTTAGTTGGGCTCTTAGCCCTGTCATTTTGAACATTTATATATCTTGGCTGCTGCAATTGTTAAGAACTTTTGTTTAAAAAGCTCTTTTGTTGTGGCAAGCCAGCCAAAAACCTAAATAAGATCTGGTGATGTTCATGTTGCTATTAAATGGCAGAGTCAGTTCTCATTTAGTATATTAAAATTTACTGCTCCTATTCAATGTTAAATCTATTGTTTTACATTATATGTCTATATATGGCAATGATTTCTGGAAGTTTTCAAGAATATCTTGGACAATAACACTGCTCTGTGGTGTATATCGCACTCAAAGAGACATCAATAATCAGCATATGAACCTCAATAATGGTGACAACAAATTTAACAAAATTAACAGTTTAACTCACAAACAGGCAACTGAAAGTCTAAACATAAACAACAGCAGAATCAAACACAAATAAAGAAAACTGTTAGACCATTATACAACATTTATTTATACCGCAATGCATGCTGGGATATTTGTACCGTGCCACTCCCAGCATGCATTGCAGCATGAAACATTTGAGATGTTACCATTGTTGAGAAACAAGGTCAGATTCATGAGGTCTGGGTGTGTATTTGTCATAACTGAACTGTTTTTGTATGTTATTTCTTAACTGTTAAGTAATTATGGAGGTATCTTTTCTGTTTCCACTTCTCATTACCGTATTTTCCGCACTATAAAGCGCACCGGATTATAAGACGCAGTCTCAAGTACGGGGTCTATTTCTGTACTTGACCCATACATAAGGCGCACCGTATTATAAGGCGCACGCTAAAATACACTGTCTGCAAAAAAGGTAATGGAAGCAAAACAGTTAACATAGTTTAGTTGAACTTTATTGTACTATTTAACAATACACTCACATTATTATTTTTTTCAATCAGTCTTCTCCCAAAAATCCATCAAAGTCCTCATCTTCTGTGTCTGAATTGAACAGCTGGGCAGTTTCGTCATCAAACACGCCGGGTTCTCTCTCATCATTGTCGGAGTCAGTCTCATTGCCGGGTGGCTGTTCCGGCTTTTGCGAAAGCTCGGACAACAGTTAAAGCAGACACCCTAGCCCAGGCATCCACAATCCATTCACTTATGGTGGCGTAACTCGCCCGGCATGCTTACCAGTCTTAGTAAAAGTGTGTTCGCCGTCTGTCATCCATTGCTCCCACGCAGCTCGCAACTTCACTTTAAACGCCGTCTACACCAATATCCAGCGGTTGAAGTTCTTTTGTTACTCCTCCCGGAATGACAGCAAGCTCCGAATTCATTCAAGTTGGTCTTCTAACTGTCCAGATTAGACAGATTTTTGAACTCCGTGCACACATAAAGCGCACCGGATTATTAGGCGCATGGCCGTTTTATAACAAAATTTAAGGCTTTTAGGTGCGCCTTATAGTGCGGAAAATACGGTAATTAAATTAATACCTGCAACTAAGCATAAAATCTATTGCATGAGGCCCTTCATCGAGATTTATACCAAAACATTTATCAGAACTAATTTCAGACAAACAGATTTCTTTAATTATTGATTTTCCAACTTTATTGCCATAGTACAAACGTTTTGTAAACTCTGTATTACAGCAGTTGGAAAGTCTTCTTAAATAAGTTCAAGGGTGAAGAGCCCAACTAAACCAGCCCCTCACTCCATTATGGTGACACAAAAAACACCTTAATTTCTGTTGGATCTCAATGAGAATTGTATGGCAATCAAATCAGTCAGTAATAAGTGTGTGTCTGCTGTTGTTTGTGGAGTTGTTTAATGATCCTCTGCTGAGACTGAAGCTGTTTTATTTTATTTTATTTTATTTAATGTTGTAACTCAAGTCACTGTTTGTGTTTCTTGTTTCTCTTTTCTTCAGTAATTGTGATTATTAACAGCAGGTGTTCATCAGTGTCTGAATTCACTCATTAGTGTTCATTAAAACTGTCAGGTGAACTATATTAGTTAACTAGTGTATGAAATAGTGAACAAGGACACAAAGCGTGATTTCAAACACAGACTTCAAAACATCGAATCTGAACTCTGTTAGCTCACAGTTTTCTGCAGTTGGTTACTTTCTCGAAAACAAAAATGTTACCCAGAAAGCACTGTTTTTAACAGAATATTACTGTTTTAGTGAAAAAACATTATTTTACTGTAGAATCTGACCGTTTTTTAACAGCAATTTTTTACAGTGTATTGATAAATTTTGATGTTAGTTATGGAAGATAGGACAGTGATTTTTGATCCTGGACATGATCAAGGACCTAAGCCTCTACACTCTCAGAAATAAAGGTACACGAGCTGTAACTGGGGTGGTACATTTTTAAAAGGTACACATTTGTACCTGAGGGGTCTATATTGGTACCTCAAAAGTATATAATAGTACCTAAAAATTTAAAGAGGATTGCTTTTGTACCTTTTAGGTACTAATAAGTACCCTTGAGGTATTAATATGGACCTTTTAGGTACAAATCTGTACCCTTCCAAAAGGTACCACCCCAGTGACAGCTCGTGTAGCTTTATTTCCGAGAGTGTGGACATTTTTTATGTCATTCTTATTTTGACACATTCAGAGTTCATTTATACATTGTGTAATGGAAAAAAACAAGATTAAAGTATGCTGGTTATCAGAATCATAGACTGTAAAGATCAGAATTCATGCAATTGCTCCATCATGTGGCAGAGAGGAAAAATGACAGGCTCAGGTGTGTTCACATGACATTTTTTCCCTTTGAAGCTAATGATACACTGGGCAACTTTTAGAGCAATGTTGCCAGAGAACTTTGGAAAATTATGCCATCAACGGGCAACCAAGAGAGAGTCAGCTCATTAGGGCAACCAGGTCCAGATAATTTATTTATTTTTGCCCATTCTCAATAGAACTGAACAGTTCTGCCTCATATGTTTCATTGACAGTTTTATTGATCACTAAGATACTTGGATTTAAGTTGCTTCAATTTAAATAATGAAAATTGTAAAAATAGCTTAGATGTAGCTAAACTACTTTTGGCATGTAGCTTTTAGCTTAGCGTGCTACATTCCCCAGATGGTAGCTTTTAGTGTAGTTAAGCTACATTTTAAGTAGAGTAGCTAATAGCTTAGCTCACTACACTTTTAAGGAGCTTGCCCAACACTTGACACTATATAAGAAAAAAATTTAAAACCACTCCCACTGTGTTTGTCTGAAAGGAAAAAACACCCACATACATTGAGCATGGCTTGAGTGAATGATGGGGTAATTTTTGGGTGAATTATTTATTAAAATGTCCTAAAAACTTCTTGCAGGATCAATAAAAAAGAAATTATCACCTGCAAATGTTTTAAAAACGGGTTACTTACAGATTTGGGACAGATTTTTTTGTTAAATGTGGCAATGAGAAACTGAATGAGGTCTTTGTGCTGGTCCAGGTTCATGCCTTCAAAATTAGAAAGTGCAATGATGACCACTTCCTTAATGTGTTGATCTAACCAACGTGCAACTTCTGTCAGTGCTTCCTTAAAATAAAACAAAACCAAAGTTATTCTCAGTCTTGGAATGAGGAAGTAACATTGTTTTTAAAAAGTAATGCGTATCAGAGACATACTTTAACGGTCAGAAGAGAGTAGACTCCGTGTGCAAAGTAGAAAACTTCATCAGGGTCTTTTATTTTGTGTGCTATTCTTAGATCCAGGAACCGAATGCCCAAATCCAGTTGGTTAGAGATGGCGCCCTCCTGCAAATAAAATACGTGCTTTTTATTTTATTTTATTAACAATGCTTGAACCGTAATAGAAAGGCATTAATACTTTTTAGAATTACACACACACACACACACACACACACACACACACACACACAAAAACTAAGATAACAATCAGATTGCATACATTCACTATCTTTCCATCCTCATTAATAATACAACATTTATAAATAAATAAATAAAATAACAAAAATTAACAAAAAATAAATAAATGCTAAAGAAACTTAAGTATCATGGGAGTTAAAGTAAACCAAAGTCATCTAATGATGAATAAAAATATCTTTCTTTTTGCCTTTTCTAATGTCTTTAAATGCATCACAAATTCTTCTTTAAACACTAGTCTTGGGGGAATAAAAAAATACATTTATGAATATAAAGTTTTAATAATAACATTAAATTATTAATTATATAAGATATCTTTTTATCCTTACGTATTAGGCCAAACTTAAAAATTTCCCATGAGAAGACAAGTCTAATACAAAATCGGCTATAGTTACTCTAAATCTGCATGACTTTATATGTGTAATACAATATGAGGCAGAATGACACCATATAGATGCAATTAATGCTGTGGTCATGTTAACATTACCACATAATATTGATAAACAAACAAACAAACAACCTGTGTTGTTGCCCATTTCATTATACAGGGCCGAACAATACAAGGAAAATACTTGTCCAACACTTGCACCACCCTCGGCGTGGAGTTCGATACTGAGGATTGCTTATCTAAACAGTAAGTCATGCTGTCATGACTTCCTGAAAAACAAAAAATTAAATGTTTATTGTTAAATAATAACAGTGGTGGATTAACGTAATGCAATCAGCAAATTTTACGTACCCGGTATAGCGAGATTCCATAGAGGGATATCCCACATATGAGAGGGCATCTTGGACATCCAATCCTCATAACAATCTTCATCCTCCATTTTATTGCGTTTTGTGATTTATTAACAAAAACCTAGAATGCTCTTATTGACACTTCGCAGTAGCCTAACCATCCTTGCCTACGCCAGACGCTAAAACCGAAAAATGTGCACTGTTTCCGCGTTTTTCTGCACGTCATCCCCTGACAGACACATTGCTGAATGTCTATTTTGTGTTTGTTTTGTTGAGGATGTTCAAAAACTTATCGATTTTCTTTGTTCATGTCGCTCTCGTGGCACTTTGTATGGACAAGTTTGACAACATTGTTAGGGACCGTCTGAAAATTCGTTTGTTATTCGCCAAGTAGCCAAAACAACCCGTTGCAAGTTTGTTCCCCCACAAATGTTGTTTAATTTATTTTTTTTATAAATTACATATTTTTTAACGATTATAAAATGAAATTCATTCAAAGATCACTTTTAAATGGTAGCCTATGCGTTTACTGTCAACAAAATAAGTGATTGAGATAATACATTTGGGGAAAAAACGAGAGATTAAAAGTACAGTCTGTTAATTTTTCTTATTGCCATCAGGTACAAGACCAGGAACTATAGAAGTCAACAGTAATTTGGATTAATTTTCCATTTTTATGTCTCTCTCGTGACACTTTTTGTTTCTTCATGTTCGAAATTCGATTTTATTCTTCTTCTTCATCTCATGAGTTTTATTGGCAGTTGGCATACAACTTTTGGGTGCATTTATACATATCACTTCTATCTAAATTATTTTTATCAAATTTAGACATTTTTAAAAATAGAATTAAAATTTATTCATTATAAAATTAAATATTATTTAGCACTTTAACCAAAATAAAATTCATATTAACTCTTTTCAAATTTAAAATAAATACTTTCCTTTCCCTAAAGTACTTTGGGCGTTTCATAATGGCATGCTCCACTGTTTCTTCTTGCCCACAATAATCACATTTTCCAGTCTGATGTTGTTTCATTTTTTTCATTTTTTGAGTCCCGTATGTCCAAATCTAATTCTTGAAATTATACTCTCTTCCCTATACTTCTACTTGTTATTTTTCCTTTATCCACGTTTCTTTATATATTACAACCACCTCCCATGTTTTCCTTCCTCCCGTTGTTTTTGCCACATTTTAAAAATCGCTTGATTAAAACCTTCATCTCACTTTACTATATTTTACTTCCATGTCTATAATTGATTTTCTTGTAGCTTCACGGCCGCATCTGCCAATTCATTCCCCGTTATTCCACTATGAGCTGGAACCCAACAGAACTTGATTTCTAATCCCATCATCTGATTTTGAAATACCATTTGCAATATCTTAATAAATATATCCTTTTTGTTTTCAGAATGGCCACTCTCTAATGTCATCAGTGAGAAATTTGAGTCTGAACATACTAATAAACATACTAAAATTGTCTGTTTTGAACCATTGAAGTGCTATTAGTATTGCCACCATTTCTTAAGTATAAACTGATAGATCAACTGACACTCTTTTATTGACTTTTATTCTAAAATCTGTTACTGGTGCGCGTTTGTTCTTCTAATTCTAAATTTGTTGCCGGTTGACAACAGAATAGTGTATTTCTGCCACCAACTGGTATGGAGTGTGGATCATTATGACTTACCCCTTTCTTTTATTAAATCCTCTCCCACACATGAGTATTTTTAGATACTGCAGTAAAAACATATAACATTACTTTTTCAAGCTATTTTGTAAAATTTCATTTAATTTAAATTGAACTTTTATCTCTTCTAAATTCTTACTAATAGTCCTCCTTTCATATTCATACTTCATGCTGTGTAATATAATATGTTCAAGTGTCTCTTCCTGTCCACAAACTCGTATTTTCCTGTACCATGTTTGCCCTTTTTAAAAAGTGTACTGAAAATGAGAGATTAAAGTACAGTCTGTTTTTTATTTTTATTTTTTTCTGTTTGCCATCAGGTAAGTTAGAAAACCATCAAGGAATTTAAATTGTAATGAGTCGGCTGTAAAACTATAAAAGCCAACACTAAATAACCACAGATACCTCTACCAATACAAACATTTTCCATTTAGCGTTTGGATTACTGCAGAACAATACACCCTATATGGAAAACAAGTTTATGATATTGATTTGATTCATAGGCCTATATGATATTGATTTTGGTCTTTACATTTGATTCAATACGATTATCTAAACAAAACTTTTAAAAACTGGCAGTCAGAAGTAAAAAGCGAAACAAAGGCTGTAACAAACAAACTACTCCACAATCAACGCATTAGCCACTGTGGTCCCATTTAGCAACTTGTCAGCAAGCACAGTCTTTATCAAGACAAGGTTTGCTGATGGTATTATTTAATTATTTTATTAATAAAGCATGAATACATCTTGTGCTTGTCATTAGAAACCTTATCTCAGGCCTTGCCCCTAAATGCATTTGAAAAAAGACACTGACTTCAAAACAAAGGATATGCAAAAATGCTAACATTTACAGTTGAAACCAGAAGTTTACATACACTGGATAAAAAGGCACATAACCATATAAAAAAGTCAGATGTTAATGTGTCTAAACTTTTTCTCTTTTAGGTAAATTAGGATTATCAAATTCATTTCTGTCATGCTTAATAGCAGAATAATGAGAGAGATATTTTTTGAGAAATTGTTATAACTTTTCTTTTGGACGTTTCTGATTGGCTAACATTTGACAACATTTGAGTTAATTGGAGGCACAGCAGTAGAATAGTATTTAGGGAAAACCTCAAACACACTGCTTCCTTTTGTGACAACATGGGAAAATTAATGAGCCAGAATCAACAAAAAAGCCAGATTACAATTTGTTAAATTACACTGAAAAAATGAATAATTTTTGGAGACATGTCCTGTGGTCTGATGGAACTAAGATCTAACTGTGTGGCCATAATGACCAGTGTTACATTTTGAGGACAAAGGGGAAGCTTACAAGCCTATAGGAACACCATTCAAACTGTGGAGTATGGGGGCATCATGTTGTGGGGCTGTTTTGCTGCAGGAGGGACTGGTCCACTTCACAGCATAGATGGCATCATGAAGAAAGAACATTATGTAGAAATACTGAAGCAACATCTTAAGACATCAGTCAGGAAATTAAAACTTGGCCACAAATGGGTATTCCAAACAGACCATGACCCTAAGCATACTGCCAAATTAGTTAAAATGTGTTTTAAGGACAAAAGAGTGAATGTTTTGGAGTGGCCATCACAAAGCCCTGATCTCAATCCTATAGAAAATTTGTTGAAAAAGCGTGTGCGAGCAAGGCAGCTAACAAATATGACACAGTTACACCAATTCTGTCTGGAGGAATGGGCCAAAATTCTTTCAAACTATTGTGAGAAGCTTGCAGAAGGATACACAAGACATTTAATCCAAGTTATACAGTTTAAAAGCAAAGCTAAAAAATACCAAGGCAATGTATTTAAACTTTTGACTGTCAAGAAATTAATAAAAAAATTCTAAAAAAAAAAGTGTTCATTGTTCTGACATTTAGCAAATGTAAATCATTTAGGTAATCCTAACGGACCTAAAATATAGTATGATTACCATCAGACATTTTTTTAAATGGTTATGTTCCTTTTTTTAGAGTGTATGTAAACTTCTGGTTCCAACGGTAGATGTTTTGGCCTATAAAACATGTCATCTCTGCAGCATTCTAATGCACCCCCATTTAACAGACTACAATATATATTATTTCGTTCATTCATGAAATGTAACAGTATCTACCTCTGTCCACTAGATCTTCATTAATTGGTTTTGGCATCATTGAGCTGAATGATATCTTGAGCAAAGCTGTTCACGTCAAAAAAATCTCCAGCGATGATGTTGATGCTTTGTGTATCTGAGCCCGGGCGTTGCTTCTTCACCCAATCCAGCAACAAAGGGTAAGCCGTCACGGTCTTCTCCTTTAATGAGGCTGTGAGGTTCGAGAAAATGCTACACCCATAAAAAGTCAGGTTGAGACCAGCAACAAAAAATCCCTCTGTGGACCAAACAGACGTAAGTAAAGCCTAAGTTAACACATTTAACTTAAATATTGACTCAATTTAAACACTTTAAATCAGGGGTCACAAACCTCGGTCCTTGTGGGCCGGTGTCCCTGCAGGGTTTAGCTCCAAATTGCCTCATGCCTGGATGATTCAAGTATACCTAGTAAGACCTTGATTAGCTTGTTCAGGTGTGTTTGATTAGGGTTGGAGCTAAAATCTGTAGGACACCGGCCCTCCAGGAACAAGTTTGGTGACCACTGCTTTAAATGATCATATGAGCCATAATCATTAATAAATCAATTTAAATGTATTCTTGTGTACTTTCACTTTTAGTAAAGTTTCGATGTAGATTTAAGAATCAGACCCCAAATCTGTTCCTAGTAGTGGACAATGTGTTAAGTAAACATTAATAACAATAACAACAAAATATCGTTATTGTATTGCAATCAAAACCAGCAGGATGTATTTTATCCCTTACTTAATTAGATTATAAACCTGTCTTTTTTGTTGCAGTACACTATTGTAATGTGAATGGGCATTGACAATGGAGTTCGAATCTAAATGCAGGATTTATTAACAAGAATGGTCAGGCAAGCAACAATCACAATCAGGAGCAAACAGATGTATGTAGGCAAATCTAGAGTCATAGTCGAATACACAGGCAGATGGTCAGACAGACAGAAAAAAACAAAACAAAGTGAGGGTCAAAATGTAATGTTCACAATACTGCACAACAAGACTTAGCAACTTCTGTGTGTTTGTGTGCTAACTTTATAGTCCATGTAATCAGCTCATGAGCAGCTTCAGCTGTGAGTGTTTGCAATCAGACAGGCTCTTGGCCAGGTGTGTAAGTGGTGCATGACTGAATCTTCTAGTTCTCCAGCGAACTGCATAGGCAAGATCGCTGGTGACTGTAACGACTGTTCTGCACTTCTGAATAGTCAGCCTGATCCTATGAGGAAACTTAGCTATTTTACAATTTGTCAGTTTAGTGGCTAATGCATGTGAATTCATGATCATTTAGTATGATTTTTAAAGGGAGCAACCAAATCCCACCCCTAAACTCCACTGCCATTGGGTGATAACCCAAAAGATCGTACAAATTTATATGAGTTAGCCACTAGATCAAAAAGTTACGAATTGCCCTGAGGATGGCTGTGGAGATTAAATATTTGTATTTAATAATATTTGCATTTATTATTTCTTGTATTGTTATAACAAAACTTTAGCCCGCAAGATTGAACACCCCTGAAATAGGCTTTTAGGTGAAAGTAAGCCATTTAAACTCACTTGGTCTGCCTGATTGTTTCTTGTTATCGAGGAATAAAATGGCCTCATTGGGGTCTGAATTATTAGCCCACCAGTACTTAATTCCAGGCCACAAAACACGATCCTGTTTTCGATTTCTGTCATCATAAGAGAGGATAACCTGATAGGCTTTATCCCAGCAGTCCTTGAGTGAAGGCTTCATAAAAAGGGGAAAAGTTGAAAAATGTTTCAATGGTTAAAACATCGACTGAAGGACTTCTACAAAAAGCTGAGGTCAATGAATGATCTATTTCTCAGTTCTTAACTGCTAAAGAGTGAAGGATGTGATGGATGGTTATCATGAATGATACAGTACAATACGTACCACTCCATAATCAGGACAGAGTTTGGCTTTGAAATGGTCTTTGAGGAACGTCATCAGCTTTGTGTGTTGTTCAGTTGACATTTTCTTGAAATGTGAGAAAGCAAGGATGACTACCTCCTTAGAGTGCTTTCCTAACCATGTATCGACTTCTTCCATTGCCTCCTGTGGAGATTTGAAGTCAATAAGAATTGCTTTTTATTGCAGAATTCAGAAATAAATTACAAAAAACTTAAAAATAATTGAAAACTAAAAATATTGTATATTTCTATATATGCAAATATCTATTGCCTAATGTTCATTTTCCAAGAATTTTTTTTTTTAAATGTAATTAATTCTTGAATAATGATACAGTTATACAATATATACAATTACAAATTACTGCATTACCCAGGCTCATTGGAAATATCTGCCTCAGCCTGCATTTTTTGCAAAACATCAAATACGTTACTCCGGGTACATTTCAGTGCATGTTTCAGATGACAAATCCACTAGAGGACGCTGTGTACAGTTTTGCAAATCTGAAATACATCACATTGAATATGATTTGTTGTACATTTCAGATACACGCCCTTCTTGTACAAGCCCATGAGAAGCTGGGGCTTGTCGTACAGATCCCCTTGTGAACCACTGACCCTTAAACCCTTCCCATTACTAACAACCCTTGTGTTTTCATAAGCAACAGTAAGAGAATAGTGGACTACGACCACCTTGCTTTTACATTTCTTTTTTTTTCTTCCGTGGAACCATGTTTTACCAGATTCGAACTTGAGCCCTCTGCTTCACAACGATCACTCCATACAAAGTGAGCTACCAAGTAAACTAATCACGCTAGAACATTTGTCAGTAAGGAGATACGGGTGAGGCAAACATATTGTGGTATTTTGCAAAGAACTCTACAAAATGAATCTTTTATTCATCAATAATTTGTCCCTGTAAATATAATTTGTGTGAAAAGGAACAAAAGTTGTTGGTGTCATACAGCCCCACAGGGTTCATTTGAACTGCAGTCAAACGTATGTTGAAGTGGGTTTTTGCGGTTTCACTGAAATGTAGACTGAAGCTCATTTTTCCAATGAGACTGTGTTGCATAATTATGCCTTCCATAATAGGAAAACAATTAGTATGAAGGTTTTCATAATATCTTCTTGTGTTCAAGAAAAAAACAAGAGGTGAGTAGAATTGACACTTTTGGGAGAACTATCAATTTAATTTCTGATTAATACAGCCTTTTGAATTTAATTTATGTAAATAACAAAAAACAGAATCAGGTCAACAACCTTCACAGTTATCGTTGTGTACAATCCATGATAGAAGAAGAAATCGCTGGACCCAGGCTTTCCAGCAACCCGCAGATCAAAATAGCGCATACCAGCATCAAGCTGCTCAGAGATGGTTTTATCCTGGATGATCAATTGAAACCATAAACACATATAGACTGGATCACATCACTGACTGCGTACTTATAGGTATTTTACCTGAGTGATGCTCCAGTTCTTGACAATGCTCCTACAGCAACCGCAGCAACCGCAGAATATCAAATCCATAGTTATTAGACTGTCGGGTTCCAGCAATGGAGAGTCCATGTCTAAGCTGTAGGCCATAGCATCGTGGCTGCCTAAAACAAATGTGTGCTGTTTCAGTTTTTGTCTCATTTTTCATCATAGAGTACCGTGTGTTCACTTAATGAAAAGCTTTAATATGTGTATAATAGTTTGTAAATCTTAAATGTCGGTTTATGTACAAATGCCAGCCAAATGTATAAATGGCAGTGAATTAAATTATCGTTATTAAAGTTGCAGTGAAATAGAAGTTAAAATGGTCATTTTCTTCCAATGATGTACATCTGCTTAAATCGATTCTTGATTTTGTCCTTTAGGAATCGATCCGATAGTTTGAAAATAGGCATTGCTAACAAAATGGAGGTATTAAAAAATGGACAAAAAGCAGAGTACATTTTTAATTTCATCCTGACTTTAAAACCTGTCAGCTATGTACTATTGCTTTAGCTAGTTACTACTGCATACCTGGAATAGCAATATAGCACAAGGGGACTGTTGTGAATGTCTCATTCAATTTGGACATCCAGTCAGCAAGACCTTCCGCTTCAGCCATTCTTCTGTTCTTTCAGTTTAGGAAAATAAACTGAAATATAGGAAAATAGCATCTGATCAATCATAAGCTGCTGATAGAAAATAAAAATGCTTGAAAATAAAAATACAATTTTCAAACATGGCTATGAATTGTTCAACCATACACTTGTGGTTTAAAACAATCAAATCAGAGCTTTAAAATAAATATGATCATACCTGTTCTTGTTGAATTGCTCCTCAATTGTAAGTCGCTTTGGAGAATAGCATCTGCTAAATGACTGAATGCAAACGTTTATGTCCTTTTTATGTGTACAAGTCACCTAAATTTAGTTTGCGTCGTTTTTATATGTAGTTCAGGCAACGCCCTCTCGTCAGGTCAAGTGGTTCATATTCAGTGGGTCACTCTCTAGTTTTCTTTCAGTTCCTCTACATTTAGAGACACAGCACATTTAGACCACGCCAACACTGAAGGGAGGCATGGATAGGGTGTGGATTGGACAGGGTAAATGATCTAACCATCTAACGAACCGTTCAGTTGACTTTCTATTGAAGGAAGCTGCCTCACTGTTGTTCCTGACTTTTCAAACTTATTACAAAAAATGTAATGAGCCATGCAGTTGGCATTTTTGTGAGGAGTTTGCATGTTCTCCCTGCGTTCGCGTGGGATTCCTCCGGGTGCTCCGGTTTCCCCCACAGTCCAAAGACATGCTGCAGGTAAATTGGGTAGGCTAAATTGTCAGTGGTATGAGTGTATGAGGGTGACAGGCCCTGACGACAGGCCAGTCGGAATGTTTAAAAAAAGTAGTTTTTTTTGCGACCCCGCAACCATATGAGACTAAGGCCAAGGAAGAAGAAGAAGAAGAGGTTAACTCACTGTTTTAAAAGCAAAGTCAACCAATCAATGAGTTGTAGAGTGTAAAATAACATGTTCTTAAAAATATTCAGAATAAAACATAGTCTTTCCCTATTGTCCATTTTCCCAGCAAATATTCAGAAGAATATTCCAACAAAACTGAAAAAAATTATAAAAAATTAATTCCAAATAAATGCTTTTTAAAATTGCGTTTCCTGAGTCCATGGTTGCCATTAGCAATAAGCAGTGCAACTGGTTTCAACAACATTGAATTGAATGTTTCTTACATTTAATGTATATCCACACTGTAAAACCCAATAAGTTAAGGTAACTCAAACCATTTGAGGAAACTGATTGCAACAAACCATTTAAGTTTAATCCTAATGAGTACTGTGAACTTAATCCATTAGAGTAAAAGCAATTTGAGCACATTAAAACCCCATAGATGATGAGAACTCAAACCAATTGAGTACTGTAAAAACCAATAAGTTAAGGCGACTCAAACCGTCTGAGGAAACCAATTGCTACAAACCATTTGTGTTAAAAACTAATACGAGTACTCTGAACTTACTCCATTTAAGTTGAAGTAATGAGGTATTTAATTAACTCATTACCTTCAACACTGAGTTCAATTTCATTTGATAACATTGACTGTTGGGTTTTACAGTGAAGCCTTTGATGAACAAATTAAAAGATTTTTTAATGTCAGCAGTGTTTTTAACTCCTCTGTAAAACCCCTTATTTGGCTTTTTTATTCAATCTGAACTGCTTCACCCTTGACAAACAGATCTTGTAAATCTCGCCAACTCAGCTGATGCACTTCCTTTAGTGCAGTTTTTTTTTCTTTTTAAATTTAGCAAACGATGGAAGTTTGCAGCATGGGCAAACAAACTCGTTTAGGAAAACGAAAGAGAATATGAATATATAAAGAGAATATAAGGTCCCTGATGTATGAATTAACAACAAAGCACAATGATTATTTTCTAAAATTAAACTGTAACAGAATGCATTTAAGGGTCATTATCACTATAAAGTACCTTTGATGTCCCATAAGATTGAATCAGACCTATATGAACATAATGTCAAATAATGAAATTCTGATGTTTTAATATAATTGGAGGAATGAATTTCATCTCAAACTTACAGTTTGAGAACCACTGGGCTAAGGTCTATATTACGGGTCACCAATCTAGGTCCTGGAGGGCTGGTGTCCCTGCAGGGTTTAGCTCCAGCTTGCCTTAACACACCTGCCTGGGTGTTTTAAGTATATCTAGTAAGAGATTGATCAGCTTGTTCAGGTGTGTTTGATTAGGGTTGGAGCTAAAATCTGCAGGACACCGATTCTCCAGGACTGAGTTTGGTGACCCTTGGTCTATATCAGGGGTGCTCAACCCTGTTCCTGGAGATCTACCTTCCTACAGAGTTCAGATCCAACCCTCATCAAACACACCTGAACCAATCATTTAGAACCTAAACAGGACTTGATTATTACATGCAGTTGTGTTTAAACAGGGTTGCAACTGAAATCTGCAGGAAGGTAGATATCCAGAAGCAGGTTTGAGCACCCCTGGTCTATATAATACACTATGTGGTTAAACAAAAAATCTCAAACTTTTTTTTTTTAAATTTGGATGTCTCAAAGGGACTTTATAATGATAATAACCCATCATCAAAGATGTTATACCTTTTTGATCTGCATCATTCTTTATTGTTTGTTTTGTACTGTATTTAGTATAAATCTCACAGGAACCACCACTTAGCATATTTTGTTTACCAAATAAGACAACGACTATGTTACTATATAATAAAATACAGTATTTCACTCTTACATGTACACACATACATGTGTCTACCCATCTTACATCATGCATTGTAAACTTCATTTTTCAGAGGTTTTTGCTCTCGTGACACTATTTGTTTTTTGTCAGCATAGATGACAACAGTTTTAGGGGCCATTTGAAAATGTTTTCTTTTTTTAATATTTTTTTCGGGGTTTTCACTTTTAATGTATAGGACAGTAGATATTATCTTCAATAAAGCATGGGGAGCAGAGGGAGGGGAAGGATCGGCATAGGACTGCGAAGTGGGAATCGAACCCGGGTCGCCTTAAGCATCGGAGTGCATGTGTCGACGCACTAACCACACCACTGGTGCCGACGCCATTTGAAAATTTGGTTGTTTTTGGATGCCAAACATGCAAAACAATCTAGTGCACAATTGTTCACCCCTATATTGGGTTTCATAATTTTTTAATGAAGTATAATTTATTTATTTTATGATTGCAAAATGAAGAGTAATTTAAAGATCACCTTTATATGTAGCTGATATGTTCACAGTCAACAAAATAAGTGATTTTTGTGAAGGAGTAACGTTCACTCACCCAGAATTGAGATAATACTTTAGTTTTCGGCTTATTCTCCTTATATATATATATATATATATATATATAAAAAAATAGCACTGTTTTTGTGTTTTTCTTCACGTCATTCCATGTCAGACACATTGCTGGATGTCTATTTTGTGTTTGTTTTGTTGTGGATGTTCGAAAACGAAGAGATTTTTCATGTTCATGTTTTGTTTGTCCAGGATGACAAGTGTTAGGGAGCGTCTGAAAATTTGTTTGTTTTTCACCAAACAGCCAAAACAAACTGGCGTACGTTTGTTTCATGCCAAATCTTTCGTTTATTTTTTATGAAGTTTAATTTATTTATTTAACGATTGCAAAATGAAGGTAATTTAAAGATCACCTTTAGCCTATATGTTCACTGTCAACAAAAGGGATTTTTGTGAAGAAGTAACGTTCACTCACCCAGAATTGAGATAATACATTAGTTCTTGGCTTATTCTCCATATTAATCTGGGGTTGCTACAGTGGAAGGAACCACCAACTTATCCAGCATATGTTTTATGCAGCAGATCCCCTTCCAGCTGCAACCCATCACTGGGAATCATCCATACACACTCATTCACACACATACAGTACACTACCGACAATTTAGCTTACCCAATTCACCTGTAGCGCATGTCTTTGGACTTGTGGGGAAACCGGAACACCCGGGGGAAACCCACGCGAACACGGGGAGCACATGCAAACTCCACACAGAAATGCCAACTGGCCAAGCCGGGGATCGAGCCAGCGACCTTTTTGCTGTGAGGCGATCATGCTTCCTCTGTGCCACCGTGCTGCCGAATTAAGGTAATACTTTTTGGGAAAGAAAATGAGAGATTAAAAGTACAGTCTTAAGTTTTCTTTTTGCCACCAGGTAAGTTAGAAGACCAGGAAGCCAACAGTAAGTTAGCACAACCAGATATCTTATTATATTATTATTATTATTATTTAATTATATTTAATTTATTATTATTTCAATTGTATTTTTTAATGATTGTAAAATGACGCTAAAGCTGAAAAATGAGCATTGTTTCCATGTCAGACACATTGTTGGATGTCTTTTTTGTGTTTGTTTTGTTGTGGATGTTCGAGAACGTAGAGAATTTCCATGTTCATGTCGCTCTCGTGACATTTTCTGTTTCTTTAGTATCAATGACAACAGTGTTAGGAATCATCTGAAAATTTGTTTGTTTTTAGCCAAACAGCCAAAACAAACTGGTGCACGTTTGTTCCACCTCAAATGTTGTTTTGTTTATTTTTTATGAAGTATCATTTATTTTTTTAATGACTGTAAAATGAAAGTTCATTCAAACATCACCTTTATATGTAATACGTTCACCATCAACAAAAAAAAGTGTTTTTTGTGAAGGAGGTAATGTATACTCACCCAGAATTGAGATAATATTTTTTTGGGAAAGAAAATGAGAAATGAAAAGTACACTCTGTTAAGTTTTCTTTGCCATTAGGTAAGTTAGAAAATCATAAGGAAATTTAAATTCTATTGGGCCAACACTAAATGACCACAGATACCTCTACCAATACCAACATTTTCCATTTAGCGTTTGGATTACTGCAGAACAATACACCCTATATGGAAAATAAGTTTATGATATTGATTTTGGTTTTTACATTTGATTCAATAAGATTTTCTGAACAATACTTTTATAAACTGGCAGTCAGAAGTAAAAAGCTAAACAAAGACTGTAATAAACAAACTACACCACAATCAGAGTCCAACCTCGCCACTAAACTCTTAGTCTTTATCTCAAACTTTTCAATTTTTGAGCTTTAACTGTACAGTACATGTTGATTCCAAGACTGTAAAAGTGGACTAGGGAGTTTTCCAGTTTAGATTAAATTTAACGCATTAGCCACTGTGGTCCCATTTAGCAACTTGTCAGCAAGCACAATCAAGACAAGTAGAAGTTTTAAAAAAATCATAAGATGAAGGTTTGCTGATGGTATTTTTTTATTTATTTTATTAATAAAGCATGACTATATCTTGCACTTGTCATTAGAGACCTTATCTCAGGCCTTGCCCCAAAAAGCATTCAAAAAATACACTGACATCAAAACAAAAATGCTGACATTTCAATATTTTGGCCAACAAAACATGTCATCTCTGCAGCACTTTATTGCACCCCCATTTAACAGACTACAATATATATTCTTTCTTTCATTCACGAAATGTAACAGTATCTACCACTAGATCAGTGGTCACCAAACTGGATTTTAGCTCCAACCCTAATCAAACACACCTGAACAAGCTAATCAAGGTCTTACTAGGTATACTTGAATCATCCAGGCAGGTGTGTTGAGGCAAGTTGGAGCTAAACCCTGCAGGGACACCAGCCCTCCAGGACCGAGATTGGTGACCCCTGCACTAGATCTTCAAGAACTAGTTTTTGGCATTGTTGAGCTGAATGACATCGTGAGCAAAGCTGTTCACGCCAACAAAATCTCCAGCGATGATGTTGATGCTTTGTGTGCCCGAGCCTGGGTGTTGCTCCTTCACCCATTCCAGCAACAGAGGGTAAGCCGTCATGGTCTTCTCCTTTAATGATGTTGTGAGGTACTGGAGCATGTCATTCGCATCAAAAGTCAGGTTGAGACCAGCAACAAACAATCCCTCTGTGGACCAAACAGACGTAAGTAAAGCCTAAGTTAACATATTTAACTTAAATATTGACTCAATTTAAACACTTTAAATTATCATATGAGCCATAATCATTAATATATCAATTTAAATGTATTCTTGTGTTATGTTTCTACTGAGTGGTACGATACGGTAGGCTTTTATGGTAATTTCCGCTGTCAAACAGTACCAAAAAGCGAACTGTACTGTACCACTTTTGGGTATCCTTTCCAAAGGGTACCTAGCACAACAAAAGGGTACCAAAAAGTGGAGCTAGACATGCAGCTAAATGCTATTGGTTTACAGAGAAACGTCACCAGCATAGCAAAGAAGGCACCATTTTTTTTACATACACAGCCCAGACATTACACCGTAATAATATATACAGTACATATAATAATGAACCATGGTCGACCAGAGTGCAAACAAACCCTGTCGTCGTGTTGATGAACAGCCACAAAGCCAAGATGAAGAGCAGAATCTGCTGTGTGCCCTGGTTTTGTTTATGAGGCCATCTAAAAGCGAGATCAGTTTCACTTTCTCTAGAGAGCTCTATTTGCTGCGCTCGCCACGCCTCTATATATGAAATAACGAACTCGAGCTCATGATATTAATGTGGACGTGATTATTAAAGTACGAATTCTCAAATCCTTTCAAAAAAGGACAAATGCGAGAGGCAATCGTGAAAAAACAAAGGAGAAACCTGAAAAAACAAAGGGGCAAATGATTCTTTCAGCAACCTAAAACATGAACAAACTGCCATGTTTAATTATTATCATTACCTTCTGGACTATTATGAATTCGGAATGATGGAATTAGCCTTTAACAAGATGCTATCGTTGCATGTGCTGGTGAAGAATAAAAATGAGAGGTTTGTACTGACTGTATATGTTTTATATCGTTTATAAACCCAAACAAGGCCTAAATTGGTACCATTGGGCAGCAGAGACATAACACTGATAAAGGTGACCCGTACCGAACCACTCAGTGGAAAGGAGGCATTACTGTAAGTAAGTTTAATTTTCTTATCTGGATTTATTCCACAATAACAACTGGCTGCATGTACTTTATCCCTTACTTAATTAGATTATATATCTTTTTTGTTGGAATTGCAGTCCACTATTTGGCACTTCTGAATGGCCAGCCTGATCTCACGAGGAAACATAACAGTTTTACGTTTTGTCAGTTTAGTGATGAATTCATGATCATTTTGTAAGATTTTAAAAGAAGGCATGGCACCAAACCTCACTCCTAAACCCACTCATCATTGTGGGATAAGCGAATCCTACTAAATTGTATGAATTGGATCGTACAAATTCATATAAATTTGCCACAAAATCAAATAGTGACGAATGCCCGTTAGATAGTGTTGGAATGGCTCTGGTGATTAAATGTCATGTCACATCTGGTGCAGACAAATTTCCTGTCACTGGAATCTTGTCACGTCATGTGTTGTTATAATATGACTTTAGTCCTCCAGGAGCAAGATTGAACACCCCTGAAATAGGCTTTTAGGTGAAAGTGAATTGTTTAAGCCATTCAAACTCACCTGGTCTGCCTGTCTGTTTCTTGTTATCGAGGAATGAAATGACCTCATTGGGGTCTGAATTATCAGCCCACCAGTACCCGATTCGAGGCCACAAAACAGGATCCTCAATATTTCTGTCATCATAAGAGAGGATAACCTGATAGCTACTTTCCCAGCAGTCCTTCAGTGAAGGCTTTATAAAAAGGGAAAAGTTGAAAAATGTTTTAATGGTTAAAACATCGACTGAAGGACTTCTACAAAAAGCTAAGCAGTGAAGGATGTGAAGTTATCATAGACGATTACAGTACAGTACGTACCATTTTAGCCTTAGGACAGAGTTTGGTTTTGAAGTGCTCTTTGAGGAAGTTGGTCAGGTCTGTGTGTTGATCGGCTGACATTTCCTTGAAATGTGAGAAAGCAAGGATGACGACCTCCTTAGAGTGCTGTCCTAACCATGTCTTCAGTTCAGTCATTGCCTCCTGTGGAGATTTAAAGTCAATAAGTTTCGCATTTTATTGCAGAATTCAGAAATAAATGCTATTAAAGTTAAAATATTGTATATTTGTATGTATGCAAATATCTATTTACTGATGTTTTTTTTTTTCCAAGAAAATGTCATTTTTGATTGAATTAATTCTTGAATAATGATACATTTTTACAATATATACAATTACAAATAACTGCATAACCCAGGCTCATTGGAAATATCTGCCTCAGCCTGCATTTTTTGCGAAACATCAAATACGTTGCTCCAGGTACATTTCAGTGCATGTTTCAGATGACAAATCCACTAGAGAACACTGTCTACATTTTTGCGAATTTGAAATACGATATATTTTGACTTCCAAACACTTAAAATATAATCTGTGTGTTAGTAAATACAAGGAAATCCAGCATAACACTGTATGATAACACTTCAGATGACTGATCTAGAGCCTACAGCTAATCAATCTGTCAGATTCTAGAGTGCATAACAGCTCTAAAGAACATTATAAATGATATTAAATAAAACAAATGCATCAATAGAGATGGTTTACAAGTATATAACTTTACTCACATGGGAAATGGAGGCCACGTGAATGGTTTGTGAGCACAATTAAGTGCACAGAGCATGCCGTATCATCTGATAATTGTAGGAAATAATCCCAAAAGGCAACTGACTGTGTAAAGCCACATACAACAAAATAGAAATACGATGAATATGCCGAGTTGAGTGGCTAATCTGCCGGAGTCAGCTGAGGTGACGTTACGGCGATCAGCGAGATCTAACTGTCAATCAAGTGGCCACGCCCTTAATTATGCAAACTTAATATAAACTAATATAAAGGAAACTGATGAGTTATGAAAAATATTCACCCCCCTCACAGTTGTCATTAAGAGTAATATTAGCTGTATGAACCAAAATCGTTATTTGGACCAGGCTGTAAACACCTTTTTTTCCTCTCAAAATTTGTTTATACATAAACTTGACTTTGTGAAATATGTGTCCTAATAGTGTTTTAGCAGCGTGGGACACATATATGACTGTCAACATCTCAAAAAAAGTGTTTTGGTGTTTCGTGACCATTTAAAATTGTCCTAGCTTTCTCCCAACCCTCCAAGACCCTCCAGGTCTTCATAATATCTTCTTGTGTTCAAGATAGAAACAAGTAAAGAGTGAGTAAACGATGACAGAATAAATATTTTTGGGTGAACTATAACTTTAATATATGATTATTGCAGCCTTTTGTAAGCCTGTTGAATTCAATTAATTTAAATAACAAAAAACTGAATCAGGTCAACAACCTTCACAGTCATCGTTGTGTACAATCCATGATAGAAGAAGAAATCGCTGGATTCAGGCTTTCCAGCAACCCGCAGATCAAAATAGCGCGTACCAGCATCAAGCTGCTCAGAGATGGTTTTATCCTGGATGATTAATTGAAAACATAAACACAAAGACTGGATCATGGATTCATCATCATTGACTGTGCGATTATTGTATTTTGATAGATATTTTACCTGAGCGGTGCCCCATTTCTTGACAATGGGCCTTAAGAATGCACTGAACATGTTGTCCATAGGTTTGAGACTGTCAGGTTCCAGGACTGGAGAGTCCATGTCTAAGCTGTAGGCCATAGCATCGTGGCTGCCTAAAAGAAATGTGTTTTGTATCAATTTTTGTCTAATTTCTAGAGTCACAGAGTGTAGAGCTTAGATTAGGTCCATACAATGAAACCTGACCCTACCCGAACCTGTGCGTCTTGTTTACAAGTCTGGCCTGGTTCGACACATTAACTGTAATTATGAGCCTGATTTAAACCTGACTATTTTTTAATACGTGAGCTGTTATGACAGACATTCTCAACTAAAATTCTGAGTTTGAACTACAGATATTAGTTTATATTATCTTAATGAATGATGTAAGATAGACAAAGCATGTAAACGGCATTGTTTGTTTATTCAGAATGGATATCATCCTTTTTTCTGCCATGGCAAGCCTGCTTCATGTGTCTGTTCATTGTGGAACTCCTCGTTTTTATGCCTCCTTCACACCGCACGCGTGAGTAGAGCGTGTTTTTTTTTTTTTTCAACATCCATGTAACTGATAAATATTAGATCTTTCATACCGCACACAGAAGCAGTGCGTCAGTGCAGATCGTGAGCAAAGCTAAAGCAGCATTGCCACAATAATTTCAGTGCTGGATCGATTTTTTCCGCTGTTCATGCCAAACCACATAAATGACAGTAACAATGATTAATTTTACCCAATATATGCATTGATAAGATCCACTGATTTTTATGCACTGTTTCTGCTCTACATGCAGCTTCAACTCTGCTTGCGTGTGCGGTGTAAATGTGTGGCAGTGGAGGAGACACTGTTGCAGGAGAGCGTTGTGAATTGTGCACCTTGTAGACCCACACGTGTTGCTTAGGCCAACTTTGCTAAAACATTCATATCATATTTCTAATTGCAAAGCTTTCTACCCAATTAGGCTAATTAAGTAATGACTCAAAAAAAATTGCACAAATGCTTGATCACGGCTCGGCCCGAAGATAGTGGCAGGAAGTAAGTCTGGGCTCGGGCAGAGAATCTAAACTCTAATGTATACAGTTAATTTTTTCTATAGAAGATGTAAAGCTTTAATATGTGTGTAACAGTTTGTTAATCTTACTATAAAGGTTGGTTTATATACAAATGTCAGCCAAATGTACAGTGCATCTGGAAAGTATTCATAGCGTTTCACTTTTTCCACATTTTTTATGCTAGTTTTATTCCAAAATAAATTCATTTATTTCCTCAACAGTCTACACACAATACCCCATAATGACAATGTGAAATTTTTTTTTTTTTGAAATAGCTGCAAATTTAGTAAAAATAAAACCCCTGAAAAATCACATGTGCATAAGTATTAGAGTATCCTGTTCTAAATGGAGCTCTAAATAGAGCTCAGGTACATTCTGTTTCCACTGATCATTCTTGAGATGTTTCAGCAGCTTATTTGGAGTTCACCAGTGGTTAAATCAGTTGATTGGACATGATTTGTAAAGGCATACACCTGTCTATATAAGGTCCCAGGGTTGACAGTGCATGTCAAAGCACAAACCAAGCATGAAGACAAAGGAACTGTCTGTAGACCGCAGAGACAGGATTGTCTCGAGGCACACAGCTGGGGAAGGTTACAGAAACATTTCTGCTGCTCTGAAAGTTCAAATAAGCACAGTGGCCTCCATCATCCGTGAGGGGAAGATGTTTGGAAGAATACCTTACTAGAGCTGGCCGGCTATCTAAGCTGAGTGATGGGGGAAAAGGGCTTTAGTCAGGGAGGTGATCAATAACCGGATAGTCACTCTGTCTGAACTCCATCAATCTTCTGTGGAGAGAGGAGAACCTTACAGAAGGACAAACATCTGTGCAGCAATTCACCAGTCAGGCCTGTATGGGAGAATGGCCAGACGGAAGCCACTCCGCTCCTGGAATTTGCCAAAAAGGCATCTGAAGGACTCTCAGACCATAAGAAGCAAAATTCTCTGTTCTGATGAGACTAAAATTGAACTCTTTGGAGTGAATGCCAGGCGTTACGTTTGGAGACAACCAGGCACCGCTCATCACCAGGCTAATACCATCACTACAGTAAAGCATGGTGGTGGCAGCATCATGCTGTGGGGATGTTTTTCTGCAGCAGGAACTGAAGACTAGTCAGGATAGAGGGAAAGATAAATGCAGCAATGTACAGAGACATTCTGAATAAAAACCTGCTTCAGAGTGCTCTTGACCTCAGACTGGGGCGACGGTTCATCTTCCAGCAAGACAATGACCCAAAGCACACCGCCAAAATATCAATGGAGTGGCTTCACAGCAACTCGGTGAATGTCCTTGACTGGCTCAGCCAGAGCCCAGACCTAAATCCTGTTGAACATCTCTGGAGAGATCTGAAAATGGCTGTACACCGTCGCTTTCCATCCAATCTGATGAGTGGTGCAGCAAAGAGGAATGGGCAGAAACTCAAGTGTGCCAAGCTTGTGGCATCATATTCAAAAGACTTGAGGCTGTAATTGCTGCCAAAGGTGCATCAACAAAGTATTGAGCAAAGGCTGTAAATGTGATTTTTCAGGTTTTTTATTTTTAATAAATTTGCAACAATTTCAAAAAATCTTTTTTTCACATTGTCATTATGGGATTTTGCGTGTAGAATTTTGAGGAAGAAGACCGTAATAAAAAAAAAGTGGAAAAAGTGCAGCGCTATGAATACTTTCCGGATGCACTGTATAAATGGCAGTGAATTAATCTATTGTTATTAAAGTTGCCATGAAATGGAAATTAAAATAGTAATTTTCTTCCCATTTTGTGTCAAATCAATGCTTGATTTTGTCTTTTGGGAACTGATTGGGTCGTTTGAAAACAACAACAAAATGAAAATATTGATGAATGGACAAAAAAAGCAGGGCAAAAATGAGACACGCCCTGATAGCCCCGCCCTTTTAAAAAATAAAAATTATAAGAGTACATTTTAAATTTCATTCTGACTTTAAAATCTGCCAGTTTTGTACTATTGCTTTAGCTATAGTTACTACTGCATACCTGGAATTGCAATATGGCTCAAGGGGACTGTTGTGAATGTCTCATTCAATTTGGACATCCAGTCAGCAAGACCTTCCGCTTCAGCCATTCTTCTGTTCTTTCAGATGTTTAATGATCCTCCTTGTAGCTTAGGAAAAAAAGCATCATAAGCTGCTTATAGAAATGCTTAAAGATAAAAATACAAGTTTTAAACTTGACTATGAATTTTTCAACTGAACATTTGTGGTTTAAAGCTATCAAAGCAGAGCTTTAGGATAAATATGATCATACCTGTTCTTGTTGAATTGCTCCTCAATTGTAAGTCGCTTTGGAGAAAAGCGTCTGCTTATTGACTGAATGCAAACGTTTGTGTCCTTTTTATGTGTAACAGTCACTTTAGTTTGCGTCAATTTTAAATGTTTAGGCAACGCCCTCTCGTCAGGTCATTACAAAGTGCTTCATATTCAATGAGTAACTCCGTAGTTTTCTTTCAGTTCCTCTACTTTTAGAGACACAGCACATTTAGACCACGCCAACACTGAATGGGGCCATGGATGGGGGTGTGTTTTTTGGATGGGGTAAGTGATCTAATCTGCTCCATTGTCTCTATTGCTGGAAGCTGCCTCACTGTAATTCCTGACATTCCAAACTTAATACAAAAAATGTAATGAGCAATGCTCCATGGTATACAGCCAACAATGTAAAAAAAAAAAAAAAAAAAAAAAAAAAAAAAAAAAAAACAGAACTAAATTTCTATAAGCGACTGAACCGTAAAAGTCTGTTTGAATAAGGATCTTTGCTTGAAGGGATACAGCTGTGGCCCAGAAGTTCTAAATGTGCTCTGTCACTGCAAAAAGCAATTAGCTACTGAAATTGTAGCCCTAAAAAGTGACAAGTTGATTTTCTTACAAAGAGTTCACTCACTTTTTTAAACTCGGAAGTTAGTTTTTAAAATTATGCACATGGTTAATTGAACAATTTTGATGAAATGCGTTATGCGTTTACTCACTTTTTAGAAGTCAACAAACCACTTTTAAAGCAGTAGGTTTTCTCATTTTAAAAGCCAAGTCAACTAATCAATTTTTCGAAATGCAGCATAAAACATAGGGCCCTATCATACACCAGGCACAATAAGGTGAAAGACGTGTTTGGTGCCACGTTGTTTAAATAGCAAATCCATTTGCACCACTTTGTGGACTCATGGGTGTGCTGGTCTAAAAAGGAGGCGTGTTGAGGCGCATTGCTATGTTGAGAAATTTAAATAGACTGCGACATTGACCAACTAAAAGCTGCTCTAGAGTCTAGCACAGCGTTAGTTATGCGCCTATGCAGGTCCAAAACACACACACACACATTGCTTTATACACACAGACTGTACATCAATACACAAATATATTAAAAAATGAAAAAAAAATGTTTTTAAAAGATTAAAATGTTACAATTACTATTTTCTACATAAATATAAAAACCACTGCCTCCATACCTTCACCTCATGGGGGCCTTTTTCAGTTTATTGATGACAATTTGCATGTGTATAATGTTATTATTATTAGCAGTATTATTTATCATATGCATATTTATATTTGTTTTAAAAAAGCAAGTTTAGGTTGGTCCACCTGTCGGGTTTTGCAGACCTATGCATCACCACATGGGTCATAAGAATAGGACGTGTGTGTGGATGTAACTTTGACCACACTTCGTTTTTATTGTTCATTTATTAATTTGCTGGAAATTAGAACTGAATTTGGAAATAGTTTTGAAACAACTCTTTGCACTTATCAAACAAAATTAAATATGCAGGCTAATGGATGTCTTCAGTGGAGTGAGTTTCCACCGTTTCCTTACTTCTCAAAAGTAAAGGAGTAAAGAGTAAAAGTAAAGAGGCCGAATGGAGGAGGCTCATTCTTCATCCTCGTGCTGCAGATGGTCTGTTAAGCGTTCAGTTTTTCCACTTAAAAAGTCGGCCATGTAGATAGCAAATGCGCCATTGTGCAGTGCAACTGACTCTTAAAGGGAATGAGAGATGAGACTCTAATTGGTTTAATGCACATTATGCTCAAAACACACCCAGAACTCATTAAGAGAATAAGCACAACCCTGTTACTGTTATTTTTACTTTAAGAATATCCCAACAAAATAGCAAAAACAAGTCATTCTAAATAAATGTTTTTTAAAATCCTCATCCTGAGTCTATGGTTTCCATAGGCAATAAGCAGTGCAACTGTTTTCAACATTAAAATGAATGTTTTTTACATATAAATACTGCCTTGGTAAACAAATCAAAAGACTATTTCTATTTTTAACTCTCTTGTAAAACCCCTTATTTGGCTTTTTTTTTTTATCCAATCTAAACTGCTTCACCCTTGACAAACAGTTTTTGTAAATCTCGCCAACTCAGCTAATGCACTTCCTTTAGCACAGTTTTTTTTAAATGTAGCAACCGTTGCCAGTTTGCAGCATGGGCAAACAAACTCTTCTTTAGAAAATGTAAAATAATATGCAAAAGGACCCTTTATGAACAGTATGAATTAACAACAAAGTGATTATGATGGTGGCACGGTGGCTTAGTGGTTAGCACTGTCGCCTCACAGCAAGAAGGTCACTGGTTTAAGCCCTGGCTGGGTCAGTTGGCATTTCCGTGTGGAGTTCGCATGTTCTCCCCGTGTTTCCGGTGGTTTCCGCCGGGTGCTCCAGTTTCCCCCACAAGTCCAAAGACATGCGCTGTAGGTGAATTAAATAAGATAAATTGGCCGTAGTGTATGTGTGTGGATAAACGTGTATGGATGTTTCCCAGCACTGGGTTGCAGCTGGTAGGGCATCCGGTGTGTAAAACATATGCTGGATAAGTTGGCGGATCATTCCACTGAGACAACCTCTGAAATAGAAGGACTAAGTCGAAGGAAAATGATTGAATGAATGATGCAAGGATCTTTTTCTAACATTAAACTGTAAAGGAATGCATATTATCAAAGGTATTCAACTTTTTTTGTTTTTTTGCATCTTTCTCTATTGTTTGTCTTGTACTGTATTTAGTATAAAAGTGTGCAGTTTGTCAGTTTTTTTTGCTGGATGAGTGACTTTTTCCTATTTTTCAGCTTGTGTTGAAAGACAACAAACAAAATAAATGAAAGCATTCAAACTTTGCACCAGGTTTACTTAGTGTTCTCAAAGTCAACATTAAGCAAACCACAATCACTGTTTCACCCTAAACAATCCTCTTTCTTTTCTTTAAATATTTTGTTTTGCAAACGTTTAATATTTCAATCATTTTTTGCAATTACATTGTATGTTTAACATACATTACATATGCCAAGTGTAGTAAAATTGCCTGTCATCACTAGCAATTATTTAAAAAATGTCTAAAAATTCACAGATCACTCTGAGTGCAGTTAATGTAAACATAATTAAAAATGCAGAGAATGCTTTTACATAAAATTACATTTCTGATTTTTAGTCATCTAGACAAACTAATGTCTAAAACTTATCTGAATTATCAGAGTTATGAATTAAAAAAAAAAAAATATATATATATATATATTAGAACATTGATTTAGAACCAAAAAACTGCAAAACGATCACAATTCATCACTTCCCCCTGGTTTTTTATCCAGTGTATGAGTATGGTGGGATTCCTTTAACCCCTAAACCAGTCACCTGGAATAAGAAAACGGCATATAATGCTTCATTATGCATGATAGGTGATTCTGCTTTAAGATATGAAATAAATGATCTACCTTAAATGTGCAACCAGCCTCAGGTTGTTTAGCCAGTGCTTCTGCATCCATGCCTATATATGCTGAGGTGATGTACAGATCACTGTAGTCTTTCCCTCCAAAACAGCATGAAGTGATTCTCTCTGCTGGAAGCTTCACTGTTTGCAGACGCTTGCCTGAAAGAGGAAGTTCATTAATTACTAGGGGTGCAATGTGACATGCATTCATCCTGACATTTCCATCTTTCCATTCTGCTTACAGACTTAATTGGAAACTTCTGGTCTTTTCTTTATTTTAATGAATTGATACAAATTCTTAGATCTCAAGATCAGTCTTTTAGTTGAGCTGTTTCAGTTGATTTGTTAGTAAATCAGAAAAATTGTATGTGGGATGTTGACTGTTATTTTTAATGTAAAAAAAATAGAAAAAGCGGAAATCATTCACCAATTTGGATTGTTTTTTTTTTTCTTTATTTTTTACTTTGAAAAGAAATCATAACATTTTATTGAACTCTTGACTTTCTTATTTTGTATTAATTTGACTAAACATTATATCAAAGATAAAGAACAACAAGGAATGATTGTGTTTATTCATATGGTAATTATTATTAATAATAGAATATTTAGCATTTTTTCAAACAATTTATGTGTTGAATTTATTTTTGCTCAATATATATGTTCTATAGATCATATATGTTAAAGACATAAGCATACTTAAGTAAAAAGTATGTATGCATCCTCCTTTTTTGTGATGTGTAATGTGATTTGAAGCACAAGTTTTGTGATTCGCTAAACCACTTATAATTATCTATACAACTGTAAAAATGAAAAATGTATTAAACTCTACGATCAAACAATGTTAGATGAGTATGTTTTTGGAAACTGCTAAAAATACTCTGTATGGGTCACGATTATCAATGTTTTTCTTTTATACCTAAAATCATTATATCTACTGTAGATATATTAAAACTCAATATTCGATTAATAATATGCATTGCTAAGCTCTAGATTTAGACAAATTTAAAAGGTGATTTTCTCAATATTTAGATTTTTTCAACTTTCAGATTCCAGATGTTAAAACAAAAGTATCTCGGCCAAATAGTGTCCAATCTGAACAAAACATACACCAATGAAAAGCTTATGCACTACCTGTTCAGTTTCAGGAACAACAAATGACTTCTAGTTGATCATTTGGTATCAGAAGTGGCTTATATGAAAGGCAAAGGCCTCTAGAACACGCTGCTTACCAAAATAAAATATGATCATGCCTTGATTTTTTTAATGATTTAATTAGTACAGTAAGGTCTGACTTTGCTTAGACACTTGTCACTTAACATAAGTAATGTACAGTTAAGCATATAGTCATGGTGCAGTGGAAAATGAATTAATATTGTGTCTGACTCCCATGAGCTTGGAGGACTGCATCCATACACCTCTGCAATGACTCAAATAACTTTATAAGTCATCTGGAATGGCAAAGAAAGCATTCTTGCAGGACTCCCAGAGTTCATCAAGATACTTTGGATTCATCTTCAATGCCGCCTCCTCCATCTTACCCCAGACAAACTCAATAATGTTTATATCTGATGATTGGGCTGGCCACTCCTGGAGTACTTTGATCTTCTTTACTTTCAGGAACTTTAATGTGGAGGCTGAAGTATGAGAAGGAGCGCTATCCTGCTGAATAATTTGCTCTTTTTTGTGGTGTGTAATGTAAAGGGCAGCACAAATATATTGATACCTCAGGCTCTGCAGATCTCCCACACGCCCCCATACTGAATGTAACCCCAAACCATGATTTTCCATCACCAAACTTGTCTGATTTCTGTGAGAATCTTGGGTTCATGCTGGTTCCAGTAGGTCTTCTGCAGTATTTGTGATGATTGGGATGCAGTTCAACACATGATTCATCAGAAAATTTTTCCTTTTCCAAATAATCATCTAGAAGTCAAGCTATTATTTGTTGCTCTTATAAC